ATGGAAATTTTGAATGGCTACTTCTGTAACAGAGAAGCTGATGAATAAAGACGTAAAGCTTGAGTTTGCCCACCTGGACGACCGGGTGCCCTCCTGCCAGCGCCTTCACTGCACCCCTGCTGCCCTCCGTCTCGTAGTGGGCTCGGTGGTGCGACTTGGGTTGCACTTCGATCTGCAGGCTGTACGGCCCCGAGGTGGACGGGAGCTGCCAGTCCAGAGCCGGCAGAGACGGGCTGAAAACAAGTCCAACATGAGCGGTCTAGTTTTGTTTGAATGTGCAGAAAGCAATACCTCAGTAAGGACACATTGAGATGAACCTAAAGGTTTTTGGTCTGTTTGATATAAAAAACGCTCCACATGAACAGACGCAGCAGCCTGCCTTCCTTACCTGATGAACTGCTTGGGCTTTGTCCAGGTGTAAGGCGGCTGAGGAACATCCAGGAAACTTCCGCAGTAACCTTCCTTCTTCAGGGCCGCTCGGTTGGCAGAAAGCTCATCGTGACCGAGGTCTCCATGGCGCAGCTCCCCGCCTCCTGGCTCTAGCTTCAGGCTGACCGTAGGGCTGTGGTCCAGGCTGGTTTTTCGTGCCTTTATGGGGATTCCCTCGCCAATGTCAGACACGCCGTCGGTGGTGAGGGCATTGATGGCTGCCAGGATGGCAGAGTTGGTGTACTGGTTGGTGTTGGGCAGCCAGCTTTCCTCCGTCACACTGAGACGAGGCGAGGCGTGAGGGGACGGGCCTGGGGAGTGGGCGGGTGAGTATGGGAAGCTCTTGTGCGACGCTTCACTGCCATTCAGGCTGTACTTCCTCTTGGCTCCACAAGGGGAGTTGGGCCTGGAACCTCGAGGCCCCATCCAGGTGTCATCTGTTACACTCGTACGGGGGGAGGCGGAGGGTGAGTGACGAGGAGAGCCGCAGGAGGCGCCCCCCTCACCCGGCAGGGCGAGGGTGGAGCCCTTTGGGGAGACGGAGGGTGACTGCCAGGGGGAGTTCTGGGGTGAGTTGTCGTAGTTGTAGGAGAAGCTGGACTCGTAAGAGGCGTCTGAGAGGCCGCTGCGTGACGACACGCTGCTAGCTGGACTCAGGCAGCTGGGGTCACGGTAACCGTCAGCATTGGGGAGGGACAGCGTCACTATGGAGTTGACCCGCTTGGCAACTGGAAGGCTGCTCTCCTGTACCTCATCCTCGGGAAATTGACTGTAGGCGGTGATTTCAATGCGGGGGCTCTCCAGAGCCGGGGCCCCGTTTGGACGGACGGTCGAATAGAACCCGGACGCTCTCAAGTCGTCCTGCGAGTCAAAAGCTTGAGGCTCAGTGACGGAGACTGATATGGCGGGGCTGGACTGGAGGCCTTGGTACTGGGAGGGGAGGCAAGGGTTGCCCAGTGGGAGGGAGAGGCTGATGTTTGGCGTGAAGCCATACGCATCTGGAAGGAAAACAAAGGTTGTTATGCAACAGTCAGGGAGTCTGCCAGCCTCGACAACTGATGCTAACATTCATGCAGTATTCTGTGGACACAGAAGGGGGCAGCACACTACAAAACCAGAGGAGAAACAAGAATAACTTCACATCACAGACCAAAAATGGCCGCAGTTAGAGACTAAAACAGTGCCGCTAACGTCCCTTTGAATTTCGCTACAAGCCCTGAGAGGCCGATGCAGTCAAAGAAGAAAGGAATACGTCTCATTATGTCACTCGTTGTTGAGTCTCGGTCAATGTGTTTAATATTCAGTTTAAAACACGGGTTTACCCGATCAGAGGCGATGGCCAGACATCAGCACCAGCTGTGTCCTTTTCATAGCTGCATGGGACGACCAATTGGCTTCTCCAGTTACCTGCCAGTTACCTTAGTGAGTCTATTC